TTTCTCCATCTGTATAGTGAACAGACTGCGTTAGATAATCTCTTCCATGTCCTGTGAACTCACAAAACCTAGAAAATGTCTTATTTTACTGCCAGCCCCATGCCTAGCACAGCACTGGCGCATGTGGGTGCTCACAGGTGTGGTGAAAGCTGGGGATGAGTCAGCTGCTCTGTTCTGTCCTGACGCGGGGAGGTTGGTTCGGGCGCCAACCTAACCAGCTGCTGGTTGTTAACTCCATGTGAGGCGCGCTCCGTGCCTGCTGCGCGCTCCTGCTCAACCCACAGAAGCAGGGCCACTAACTGACAGGCCGGGGATCACAGGCACTTGAGGGAACCCAACCGAGATCAGCAAAAGAACCCACCAGATGAACCCAGCTCAGTTGGCTCCAGAAATAAGAGCTCAGGGGGTTGTTTGAACAATTAAGGTTTTGTTTTGGTTTAGTGTGTGTGTGTATGGGGGGTGGTTATTTTGCAGGATGGTGGCTAAAGCCATCATCCACACCTAGTGGCGTGGCCTCTCTAAGGTGCAGGTCTGACTTGTGCAGCTTCAGGGGGACATGAGCCTCTTTGCCTTGACATTATTCTTCCAGCTCTGATTTCACTGGCTGAGAACTTGGGTGAGGCAAAGCCTGCAGGTGTTCAACACCCTCGTTATCTTAATTTCCAGACCCACCGGGGGTCTCTTTCTCAAATCCCCCCGCCAGGCAGATCGTCACCCTGTGATACATCTCACACTGAGACAGGATCTCTGCTCACCTGCCTCTCCCGCATGTAGTAAGCACCTTAGGGTGGGCGTGTTGTAGATGCTTCTGGATCCTGTTGCAGTTTCTGACTGAGAGAACCTGCAGCTTGGTTGTCACCTCCAAGTGGCAGGGAGCCCTCTGCTATCTAAGTTCTATTGTGGCCTCTCACGGGCCAGCTCTACACCTCAGAAGTTCTTCCTCAAATTAAGCCGGATTGTGTTTCTTAAGTATTTTTGGTCTTTGGTTCTCATGAATTTGCACTAGATCCACTTCCCCTCTCCCCACAAGTCTTCTTCATGCACATCTCCTCAGGCCCTAACTGCGCCATAGAGGGTATAGTAGTAAGTGCCTTTACCAACCTGATCTCTTTCTTCTGACAACCAAGACTGAACACAATATTCCTGTCCAATACTGAGCACGATGGGATGTCACCTCCCCCACACCCTTAGTAGTGTGGCCTGAGATCCAGCAGCTAGTTTTGCAGCCACAGCACACTGAATTCCTGTTAAATCCTGGCGTGATTTCCCTCCATACTTGCTGAACCCCAGTTGACCCTTCTGAAAGTTTTCTGTCCCCTGTGCTCTCAGAAAGTAGACCTGGCTTTCTGCTCAGTGCCTTAAATTCAACCCCAGCCCCAGGGAGTCTCTGCATCATCAATGACTCCAATGGTGGGTCCCCACACTCAGGCCCCTTCTCTGACCTCACAGCCTAGTGGGCACCCCTGAATCTGGGCAGAATACTGCCCCAGGAGTCCAGCCCACTGGGTAACTTTGGGCAAATCTCAGTCCATCTCTGGGTCTTCATTTCCTCATCTAAAAAATAAGATTCAAGCTTCCCAGAACTTGGAAGCTAAGAAACAACAGGGGCATTGAATTTAATATTTTCCCCCCAAACCTTTTATTGGGTCACATGCAATACAGAGCGATCCTTTGTACTCTTTACTCAGTTTCCCCCAGTGCGACATCTTGCACACGTATCGTACAAGGCATGCCCAGGAAACTGACGTTGATGTAGCCCTTCAGATTTTACTGGGGCTGTGCCAGTGACATGCATGCACTTGGAGGCGGTCTAAAGCCCCTTCCAGATCCTAGGGGAAAACTTCCCACCTGCTCCCCATTAGCTCATGACTCAGCCCTGGAGGACAAGCATCTGCCTGTGTCTATTGCAACACCCGGGAGTCTCCCCAGGCTGGGAAGTGTGGGGGCTCAGCGTTGTTCAGTGCCTGTGCCAGATGGGGTGATGGATGGGGGGTCAGCGTTGCGCAGCAGCAGTGAAATCCCAGAGTGAAGCTGGAAGTGACTGGGGAAGGCACGCTTCTCAGAGAGGAAGTGGGACCAGGTGGGTTGCGGGAAGACCATTTGCTACCTCCCTCCGTGCACGAAGTGCAGCCTCCAAGGTGAGGCCTGGCCTGGCCGGGGCCTGAAACACTGGCAGTGAACCCACACCAGCTCCCTGGGACGCAGAAATATCTTGCTCCATTCAGCAGCCCTTCTTTTAACTGAGACAGGAAGTGGGGGTCGTGGGGGGGTTGCCAACTTTTCTCCTGAGGCGGGAGGGTGGGGCTCATACCTGCCCCCCTCTTCTACACACCACGTGACTGGCTGATCCAACTGGCTGGGGACCAGACTAACTGGCTGGGGACCGTTAGTCTGCCTCAGGACCCAGGCCTAAGAGATGTTTTGATTTCTCAGGCCAGCACACTCTTCTAGAAGGTTGTAGGGTAAGGAAAAATGTCAGGCTTTCTGCCCTCCCGCCATCAGGATAGATGATGGATCCTTGCGGTCCTGAATGCATGCCTGATGGAGTAGGGTGTGGGCCTAGGTAGATGGGATTCACCTGGGCTGAGATTGCGCTTTTAATGGCGGCGTCACGGGGACGCCAGTAGAAGCCGAAGCAGAAGCCGAGAGAGAAGCAAGAGAAGCAGAAGCCGAGAGAAGGCCTCCCAGCCCCTCAGCCCCCCAGTACTCCTGCCTGCCGTGTACCTGGTAATGCCAATAAAAACCTGCAAAACCACTGAGGACTCTGACTCCTCCTTCACCCGGTCTGCTGGATCAGAAAGCCTGCACCGTGTCTATTCCTGCCCCTTACAAAGGTTGCTTTCTTTTTTTTGCTACCCCTAATGCACAGGCCGGGGGAGGAGGGACGTGGCTCTGGATCAGCAGAGCAGGCCAGGCGGGCCGGGCCCACTTCCCACCTCTCTCTCTCTCTGCCGCAGGCACCAGGTCCTGCCCCAGGGGGCTCAGAAACTGCGCAGAAGGGGCAAGCCGGCTGACCCCAACTTCTGCTCTGTGTCCACACGCTGACTTCCTCACCCCCTGCCTCTCACCTAGAAAGTGGACATGAAATAGACCTCGTGGGGGACCCCAGAAGATGGGAGGAGAAGTCTGGGTCTGACCGGGGCTCCGGGGTTTCTGTGGGCATCTCTCCCAGGCTGAGACCCGGGGGCTGGGCTAGCTCAGGGGCCACAAGCTCCAGCGCCCGCAACGCCGAGACAATTGTGAGCAGGTGGGGTGGCGCCTGGTCCTGTGGCCTGGGTGCGTGCTCAGCAGGAGACCCCGCGCCCCGGAGAAGCGCTGGGGCTCAACTCCAAGAGGACCAAGGGCTCCGGCCTGTCTTGCTCCCACTGCGTCCCTGCCCAGCACAGCGCAGACCCAGGAGACACCGGCTGAACAAGGGGAGGCCACTCCGTGCAGCCGCACCTCCCAAATGTCCAAGGAAGCCCACATTTGGGGCTCGAGGGGAGTGCAAGTGTCGTGAACCAAATCAGAAACCTCCCCAGACACCACGGGGTCCAGACTGGTGTGTGGGCTCGGGAGGGAGCCAGGCTGCCCCAGCCACGCTCTGCTCTCCGGGAAGCCTACGGGGGTGCAGCCCGACAAGGGTCATCACTGATGGGCTGGGATGCTGGTGGCCAGGCCCTTGCCGGCTTCCCACGGGCCATCACCAGGCCCCAGGAACTGGCCTCCTTCCCTTTCTTTGAGTGAATCTGGGTCCTGTCCCAGGGGGCCTGATGGTGCAGCAGTGGGGCTGCTCACGCCCGGTCTGCCCTGTGCTGGGGAGACCAGCCCTGGCACCCTCTCTCCTCCCAGGTACTTCCAGCATCCTGGCTGCTTGCTGGGCACCATGGACAGCCTAATCCCCCCCTCAACTGTCTTCTCTCTAGTCCAACAAGCCAATGCCAAGGCCACACCTGGACCTTGTCCTCTCCTGGGATGGCCCTGCTGCTGGAATGTTCTGCTGTGTGTCCATGACCCTTCTTTTCCCACCCTATCACCTAGGTGCCCCCCCAACACCTGTCCTTCGCACTCTGCTTTCCTTGCTCCCCTGATTCAGCCATTCCCCAGAGTCTGATCAGCACCCCCAACACCCTTGCACTAGGCCTGTCTTTCCAAATCTCCAACTCTGGAGCTAACCAACAGGCTGCCTTGCTTGGGCCAGCCGAGCATTGCATAACGCACACGGCATATCCACATGGGTCCTCCAGGCGCCTGGGGCCACCACCATGCTCTGGACCTTAAGCCTCAAGCTCCCTCTACAACGTCCCTTCCTTTATCCCTCTCCCTCCTAACCTGAGCCTCTTGCCTGCCTCTGGGTCTAGTTTACTTCTTCTATGAGAACACTTCTCCGTATTTTGTTGGGCTAACTGCTTGTTCTTTGGAATTCAGCTTAAATGTCTCCTCCTCCAGGAAGCCCTCTGGACACCCGGCTGGGTGCCTCTTCTCTGTGCTCTCTGGGCATCTTCTCTTGCCCTGGTGGTGGCAGCCCCCACTCCCTGGTGCTCTGCAATTACCATTCCTGCTGCCAGAGCTCTGGGAGGGCGGCCCTTTCCAACCTCACCTCTGGTTCCTGGCAGCCAGAGAGTGCAGACACGCCAGGAGTTCAACAACGTTCTTTTATCGCCTGTGAGTCCCGGCCATGCCTGCACCAGCCCGTCCCCTGCCCGCGAGTCCAGATTCTATGCTGTGTAAAACCCAGCTCAGGATCTGCTCCCTTCATGCCAACATTTCGACAATGGGGGGATTCCGGCCCTTTCTCTTTGGGTGCTCGAGGTGCTGACCTGGGGGCTGCTCCCGTGATTTCTAATTTTCTCCTTTTATACTATAATTATTCTGCTCCCCAGGTTCCCTGTGGACAGGATCTCTGGCTAGATCACCTGTCTTCCTAACAGCCGAGATTTGGGGGGAAGAGCTAGTGGCTGTGGCCAGGAAACCCGTGTTTCCAGTGTCTACTGTAACAAACTACTACAGACTTGGTGACTTAGAACAACAGAAATTTATTATTATTATTACAGTTCTGGAACCAGAAGCCCAAAATCAGTCTCCTGGGGCAAAAGTCAAGAGGTCGGTGCCTTCTGGGGCCTCCAGGGGAGGGAGGGTCTACCTCCCTGTCTTCTAGTCAGGAGCCGCCCACTGCTCTTGGCTCCTGGCCCTGTGCTTGCCTGGTCCAGCCTCCTGCTTCTGTGTCACGCAGCCTCTGGCTCTGACCCCCGCCTCCTTTTGGAGAAACTTTGTAGTTACATCGAGGTCACCCAGATCAGCCAGGAAACTCCCCACCTCAAGATCCTGAGTGCATCTGCAAAGTCTCGGTGGCCAGAGAAACAGTCCGAGGCCCCGGGACTGGTCCCAGCTATCTCGGGAGGCCATTATCCCACCATCGACAATAGTGTTCATTTTGTCAGAACGGATGAGGAAGCTGAGCTGCTTGGCTCAGCGCTGTTTTATTTCCACCAGCGAAGTTGGAGGACTTCTTTCTCATGGGCCGAGGACTGGACAAGACTCCTCGGCGTACACTGTTTATAAAGCTCCCAGGCCTTGGTCCTGAAAGGCCGGCCCACCAGCACGTAGATCACTGGGTTCAGGCAGCTGTTGATGAAAGCAAAGAAGTTGGCAAACTGCAGGCCCAGGTCTACCAAGTCCTCCCAGGGGCAGCCCTGCACGGCGCGCACCTGGAACAGGAAGTCCAGGAAGGCAAAGAAGTGGTAGGGGGCCCAGCAGACCAGGAAGGCCACCACCAGCGTGAGGATCAGCACGGTGGTCTTGCGGCTGGTGGGGCCCCCGCACCTGGTCCTGCTGACCTCCCGCTGCCCGGACCGCCGCAGGGAGGCCAGGATGTGGTAGTTGAAGAAGACAATGGCGGCCAGCGGGAGGAGGAAGCCCAGCACGGTTAGCTTCACGATCTTCACGTAGTGCCAGGCCTCGTGGGGGAACTCCAGCATGCAGGCGGAGATGTTCAGGTCTGGGACAGGTCGGACAGTGCGGAGCAGGAATGTGGGGACACTGAGGAGGCCGCCCAGGCCCCAGATGAGCACGCAGGTGGCCTGGGCCTGCCGCCGCCGCCGCAGCCTCTGGCTGGCCATGGGGTGCACCAGCGCGCGGTACCGGTCCTGGCTGATGGCCACCACCAGGAAGATGCTGATGAACAGATTGGCCTTGATGACGCCATTGACGATGCGGCACAGGAGGACCCCGAAGGGCCAGTGGAAGTTGTCCCAGATGTTCTTTGCCCAGAAGGGCAAGCCCAAGATAAACACCAGGTCGGAAGCTGCCAGGTTGGCCAAGTAGATTTCTGCCACTTTCAGACGCCGCCGCGGCAGGAGGAAGAAAGACAGGACGAAGAGGTTGCCCAGCAGGCCCAGGACACAGATGGTGATGATGAACCCAGGCAGCACCCGGTACAGCAGGTCCCAGGCTTCCTGAGTACCATCACAGAACGTCGTATTTGGAGGTGCCAGCTGGCTCTGGTTGTAGGACCCTAAGGCCAGGAGGGTGGGAGATGCCATCCACAGGGACCTGCAACGAACAGCACTTAGTGTAACATGGGAGAGGCACACTGCCCCCTGCAGGCCACGCCAGCCTGCCTCCTGTTCAGGAAAATAAAGTTTTATTGGCAACTGGCCATACCTGTGTTATCATTCCTGTGTTATCCATGCCACGTTCATGCTGCCAGGGCAGAGCCAAGTGGGTATTTGTGACTCTCACGGCACAACTCACACTGGGTCTAACTCACCAGCTCCTCCCTTCGCTTGCCCACGGAACACACGTTTACTGAGCACCTACTCTGTGCCAGGCGTTGTTGTGGGTGAATCAGATAGGACAAAACCCTGTCCTCCTGAGTGTCTAGCCTCTGGGCAAGACCATCCTGGCAATAGCACCCTGAGTATGTCGGCAGGGAGGGGAGCAGTGCAGAGGGTGAGACAGGGTCAGGCTCCAGATAGATTTTGGAGGTAGGGCCACCATGGATTTCTACTGGATGCAGATTGTAAGAAAAGAGAGGCAGAGGATGCCAATGCTATGGGCACAAACACCTGGAAATACGAAATTGCCACCAACTGAAATGGAGGCGGCTGAGTGAAGGTGGAGCAGGGTTTCGGGGGTGGGAGGTCAGGATTTCCTGTATGGACCTGGGAAGGCTGAACTCTCCGCCAGCCACCCAGCGGGCATGTCCAGTGGATGATGAGACAGACAGTTGATCTTGCACAACTCGGGGTTAGATGCCGACCTCCATGCAGTGGGGATGGTGTACGGCTTAGAGCTGACCCTCCACGTCTGCAGGGTCTGCAGTCGAAGCTTCAACTCACGCACCTTGGTGGCTGTGTAGGTGTAAGCGGAACCACACAGGTCAAACCTGTGCTGTTCAAGGGCTCACAGTACCAGTCTGGCCTTAAGTATGGCATGTGATCAGGAGCTGTGACCTCAAGGATGGGGTATAAAGCCACAGGAGGACAAGTGTAGACAGAAAGAGGTCAGAGCGGAACATGAGGATTGATGGGTTGGAGACTGTGACCCCAAGCAGATGAGGAGTTAGGATTCTCAGTGCAAACATCCACCAGAAAACATTTATTTTGTTACTTGACAGTACTTTTCAGTGTTGCATAAGCCCTCTGGCCGCAATGAGATAAACATGAATGTTCTATGAAAACTTAAGGGCTGAACCTCTATTTCTCAAGGAAGCTGCTGATGAATATGTCACTTGCACAAGATATGTGCCGAGGTATGCATCAGCAAGGGGCTCTGGCCACTGGCCACTGTGGTTTCCTGACCACAAGGAAACCCAAAACTGAAAGTGATTACTTCAGAAGTTGGTGATTTCAACTCTGCTGCCTGAGCCATCAATTGCACTTATAATCCCTATAGATATTTCAGGAAGTGTGACTTTTCCTCTCCTTCAAGTGAGCATTAAGTTTCTGCAGCTCAGTTCTAGTTCCAGCTACTTGTGCTCACACAACAGTGGACAGGGTGGCTGGTCACAGGCAGGGACACGGAGCCAGTGTGAAGCCAGCATCCCAGGTCCTTCAAATATAAAAGCCAGGGCCTCCCCGGTGGCGCAGCGGTTGAGCACTGGGTTGCGAAGCTGCCCGCAGCCTCTGCAGCGCCAGTTCAATCCCCGGCTGCTCCCCGGCCACCGGAGGAGGGTCCCACATGGCGTGCAGACCTCCCCTGCTGCCCGCTGCTCCCCTCAGCAGTGTAATTCGGTCCTTCTGCCTGTTCTGCTCCCCGCTCTGGCTCTGGTGAATTCTCTCACCCTCCTGCACTTCTGACTATACCCAGTGCTTGTATAAATAAATAAATAAATCTTAAAAAAAAAAAAAAACAACAAATATAAAAGCTGGCCCATGCCACTCGGCTTCCATTCTTTTGTCCAGTTCATGGAATCATAGCAAAGTTTGGGTAGTTCACCCCTGTGAAGCAAAACCACCGACTTGGTGAATGCTGTTTTAAGGTCAATTTTCCAAGTGGACAATGGAAATCAAGTTATACTAATGCATATTATACCAGTACACAATGTTAACACACATACACTACAAACATTTTGTGATGAAGTGGATGATGAATTAAAAAAAAAAAAAAGCCCAGCATTTATTATTATCCTTGCTGCCATTATAATCAATTTTAGAAGACATTGAGTCTGGTGCCCGACGATATTATTAAACTGTTAAAACAGATGTCTAGGGCCTCCCCTGGTGGCGCAGCGGTTGAGCGCTGGGCTGCGAAGCTGCCAGGCAGCCTCTGTAGCGCTGGTTCGATCCCTGGCCACCGGCGAGGGTCCCACATGGCGCGCAGACCTCTCCTGCCACGCCCCCTGCTCCTCTCAGCAGTGTACTTCGATCCTTCTGCCTGTTCTGCTCCCTGCTCTGGCTCTGATGAATTCTCTCACCCTCCCATGCCTCTGACTGTACCCACTGCTTGTATAAATGAATAAATAAATCTTTAAAAAAAAAAAAAAAAAAAAACAGATGTCTAAAGTTTTTGTTGAAAATTTTCCCAAAGCAATTGGAAATCTTTAATTAAGGTATTTGGTGAATGGACTGTCAAGATATCCGCTTTTGCAGCTTTTAGGAGATAATTATGAAAACAAAGCTATTATGCAGAAAATCATTGAAATGTATTGCTGAAAGAGCAAGGGAGGAAATGGTCTAAAAATTAAGTGATGAGTGCTCAGGTGGCACAGAGATTTAATTTTGAAATTCTTATAAGAGCTTTGGGATATCTCAATTGTGGGAAGAATCTTTTCAATTAGAAAAATCCATATTTCTGTCCAGAAACAAGATGGAGTTGAGAAAGCCGAAGCTCTGCGGTATCTAAAAATGACAGAGCATGCAAAGCTTGTAAGCAGCTGTGACTTATTGAAAGAGAGGGGGCCCATAAACATGTTTGTTGAAGAAAGGAACTCTTAACTAAAGCAGAAAGGCAGCACCTGTGAAAACACCGGGGTGGAAATATTTACTTAATTCCATATACAAAAAAACTGGACTCGAATATAACCCCGCTTGATAGAGTTTGCAGAGAGCTTGTCAGGTGTCTCAGCGCCGGCAAAGGGGCACATCTTAGTTCAATGCGTTCTGGTCCAAGACAGAGTCCGTGGAAGGGGCGATTTAAATGTATTAAGGCTTAAAGTTGAAGAAAAGGACTTCAGGCCTTAGGTGGAACAACTAAAATGAATAAGCCCACACTGCATGAAAAACACAGTCTTCAGGAGAATGCCAGAGAGATGGGGGAGTCAGATACCAGCCCAAGAATCTCAGTGCAGCACGTGGATGTGTGTCAGGAGCAGCTATTTCGCTTCTGTTCTTTATCAATGTTCAGTTCAGTTCATGTGAAAACATATAGGTATATTATATATATTTATTATCATGTTATAGATTAATATATTTGAAGGAATAAAATATATATTATGTAATTCTGTTTTACTACACAGAGATATTTTAAATAAATACATGTATATTTAAAGGCACAATTTGGGGCCTCCCCGGTGGCGCTGGGTTGCGAAGCTGCCCGAGGCCTCTGCAGCACCAGTTCGATCCCCGGCTGCTCCCCGGCCACCGGAGGAGGGTCCCACGTGGCGCGCGGGCCTCTCCTGCCGCCTGCTGCTCCCCTCAGCAGTGTACTTCGGTCCTTTCGCCTGCTCTGCTCCCCGCTCTGGCTCTGGTGAATCCTCTCACCCTCCCGCGCTTCTGACTGTACCCAGTGCTTGTATAAATAATAAATAAATCTTAAAAAAAAAAATAAAGGCACAATTTGGGGGAAAATAATGTTTGAGTAGAACTATTTTAGAGCCCATCAAAATAATACAACCAGTTGGTTGGTGTGTAAGGATATAGATACACTTACATGTATTTAACTACCTACATGTCCATACATAGTTAAATACATATTTTTTACAATATAGTTTATTTATACATATTTTACATCATTGGTCATTTTTGTACGATGTGTGCTTTCTCCTCTCAGGTCTAGTCCCCGTAGAAATCCCACCGCCACGTCACCCTGCCCCACGGCCATAGTCCCTTGTGCTCTTCCTGCCCCTGTTTTATCCCTCTTCCTCCCCCTCGCCTGCAGAACGTCTCTGATTTATAGTTGCCTGTTGATTTTGGGGTTTTTGGTTATTATTTTTCCCCCCTGATCCCTTATTTGATTCCCCTATATTCCTCCTATAAGTGAGACTAGCTGATATTTTCCCTTTTCCTTCTGGCTTATTTCACTGAGCATGATCCCTTCTAGCTCCATCCATGTTGCTGCGAATGGCATGAATTCTTCTTTTTTGATTGCTGAAGAGTATTCCATTGTATTAAATACATAGTTTTTGAAACAGGTTTTGACCAGAGCAGCCCCATCGCTCTGTCAGTTTCCTACAATACAGCCTACCTGCCATTTCCAGCCCCAGCTTGTCTTGGCCCTGCAGCCGCGGGACACCAATGCTCCCAGCAAACCTGCCTCCTCTGGGCTGGGGGCGCCGGCAGCCGCCAGCACAGGCATGTGGGGCGCAGCTTTTCACCTGGGCACTGGCCTCCCGTCCCTCCAGAGAATGCTCTGCCCGTGCTGAGGAAGCCCCCAGGGACAGTTGCGGGTCTGGGAAACCCCCGCATCTGGGTCTCGGCCCCTCTCTGCCCTGCCCACCTTGGGGGCACCAGAAAGAGACCCGGATCCAGCGGGGGTGGGTGGCCATGAGGGCTTCAGGTGACCTGAGGCTCACCCTGTGCCTTGGACGGAGAGAGGTGCTTTGTTCGCTCTGCACAGATGGGCAAATTGAAGCCATGGGGCCAAGCTCATGTGGCAAAACAAGCCCCTGGGTTTGTCTCCAGCTCAGAGTTGGAGAACCCAGGCTTGGGGCTTGGGCTCACCAACCTGTGTGATTCTGGGAAGGTCCAGCAACCTCTCTGTGCCTCAGTTACTTCATCTGTAAAGTGGGAATAAGGGTGTCTCCCGCCAAGTGTGCTGTGGGGCTGGAAGGAGGTCACTGCAGCTCCCTCCCTGGGGGTCAGGCATCGGGCCGTCATGGCAGTGATGGAACCGCCACAGTGCGATGACGATGACCATGGCCGCGTGTCCTAGCTCCCGGGCGATGAGCCTTCTCTCCGTCACAGGCCAGCCCTGGGCTGTAACCCCAGGTTCTGAGCTCTACCGGGACACACACATTAGGATCTAAGGTATTCAGTCTGGAAGGCTGGCTGAAGAGGTCTGGTTCTGGGCGATGGGTTCTCACTGTCTGCAGTCTGGGAGCTTCTGCACGGGGCGGGGGTGGGTTGAGAAGGGACTGGAGGAGAGGGGAAGGCACTCATGGGAGTTGGGGTGACCACTGTGTGGTCAGCTTTGCTGCCCTCTCTTTCCTTCTCCAAGTGCCCTTGAACATGCAGGGGGCTATGTCCCTGTGAGTCTAGCCCCTTCTGGGAGCTGAGAAGGGGGCTGTAGGGTAAGTTAAAAAGTGCCAGGCTTTTCTGCCCTCCCGCCATTAGATTGATGATGGATCCTCGCGGTCCTGAATGCATGCCTGATAGTAGGCACCTGTGTGGGCATAGGTAGATGGGATTCACCTGGGCTAAGACAGGGCTTATAAGGGCGGCGTCACAGGGACGCCAAAAGAACCACGAGAGCAGCAGAGAACAAGGCCACCAGAGAAGGCCGGAGAGCCCAGGTAGAGTGAAGACTTGCTGGAGTTGGGATGCCTGCCAGTGAGAGGCCAGCAGGAGCTGCCCAGGCACCACCAGGCCAGAAGGGGGGCCCGTGCCCCAGTTCCTGATGGGAGGTGGGGTTGGTAGGATGCGAGCCCCCGAAGATGTCCACACCCTAGTCCTTCAGACCCATCACTTTCAGGGCAAAGGGGGCTTTGTAGATGTGATTAAGGGCCTGGCTATGGGGGAAGATTCTGGATCATGAAGGTGGGCTCCATATAATCACAAAGGTCCTTATAAGAGAAACAAGGAGGTAGGGGTGAGTCAGAAAGAGATGAGAAGATGCTGCACTGCTGGCTTTTAAGACGGAGGACAGGTCCACAAACCAAAGCGTGCAGGCAACTTCTAGAAGCCTCTAGAAGCTACAAGAGTCAAAGGATAGATTATCCTCTAGGGTGTCCAGAAGGAATACAGTCTTGCCAACACCTTGGGTTAGCCTATTGAGACTGATTTTGAACTTCTGACTTGCAGTAAGCTGATAAATTTGTGTTGTTTTAAGTCACTAAGTCCGTGCTGGTTCGTTAGAGCAGCAGTAGGAAATTAATGAGGGGATGGTGGGTGGGGGCTGCACCTGGTCTAGGAAGTCACAGCCAGCCACCAGTGGCTCCAGCAGAGACTTCTGACTACAGCTCACGTACCATTGCGTTAGCAGACACTGCCCTCCACCCCACCGCATGTGTGGGTCAAGCCGAGCTTATCTTGAAAGGACAGTCTTTGCCAGCTGCTGCCAGAACTTTGGTGAACCTCACCAGTAGAGCAGCAGTGCGGGAGGAGCCCAGCCAGCTGGCTGCAGAGTGAAGAGGCCAGGCTCGCCAGGTGGGCCTCCTCCAGACACTCAGAACCATAGCGATGCAAAACAAAGCCAGCAAGCCCAAGAGAAAACTGATCATCTGTGCACGGGGTAGGAGAGCCAGCCTGGCTACAAGGGGGAGGAAGGACTCTAAGTGAGCTTTGTTTAAAGTAATAAGGGAGGAGTGGCTGCCAGCCAGAGCCTCTCGCCACCCCCCCAAGCTGTTGACTCAGGCAACAATTGGGATCCTGAGACCTGCGCTCAATAAGGGGGTGCATGAGCAGGCACCCAGGATGAAGGGTCCTTGCGGAAGACTGCAGGGGTGAGTGCACAGAGTGAGGACCACTGGTTGAATCAGGCTCATAACATAGACAACGGTAGCCTGAGCCGGGTCAGTGCACTTGGACTTCCTCACAGAGGAGACAGCTGCTCAAGTCAGGCTGAGACATTTAAAACACCTGCTACCCCTTACTGCAATTATAATTGCTTCAAAAAGATGAAATACCTCAGAATCAACCTAACAAAGGAGAAAAGAGAACTACAAGATTTATTACAGGATTTAGATAGTGATGTAGGAGATCTTACACTCTCCTGTGCTCATGGATGGGGAGACTCAATAAAAATGACTATCTTACCTAAAATGACATACAGATTTAATACAATCCCTATCAAAATCCAGCAATATTTTTCAAAGAAACGCAACAATTATCATTTAAATTTGCATGGAATCAAAGGCCTCAAATTTTAAGAAAAAAGGATAGAAATGTTGTCATACTACCTGACTTCAAACTTCACTATGAAGCAACAGTATTTAAAACAGTATGGCATTGCCACAAAAATAGGTACATGGACCAATGGAACAGATGCCCTACTGAATTGGACCAAAACAACAAGAAGCCCTACTGAATTGGAAAAAATATTTACACAATATGTAACTGATGAGGGATTAATATCCAAGATACATTAAAAACTCATAAAATCCAATAACTAAAAAACAAGAAGCCCAGTTACATGGGCAGCAGATATAAATAGACAACTCACTAAAATGATACCCAGAAGCCACAAAAACAAGAAAAAATGTTCCCCATCACTCCTGCATGAGACACGCAGATTAAAACAGTTACGAGCTACTGTTTTCACACCAGTGAAAACAGCCCAAACCAAAAAGACCCCAACAGGAGCTGAGTGGATGCGGAGGGAAAGAGGCTCATCGCACTGTCTGTGGGAATGCTGGTGGGGCCGACCATTATGGAAAGCCATCTGGATTCACCTTAGAAAACTAAAAATGGAAAGACTCTATGACCCAGCAATCCCACTTTTGGGGCATCTATTCAGACAATATGAAACCATCAATGAAAAAATTCCCGTGTGTTCTTCAATGCTCGCAGCAACATCATTCACAGGAGCTAGGAAATGAAGCAGGCGAAATCTCCAATGGGCAAAGCACACAGATGTGGCACACACATATCATGGAAAATCGTGTGGCTACAAGAAAGGATGAAATGCATCCATTTTCAACAAAATGGAGGGAATTTGAAAGGATTATGTACAGCAAAGTAAGTGGGAGTGATAAAAACAAAGAGTGGACATTCATCTACCAGACAATTCATCTAAAACACTTTCACCAAACATCTTGAGGGCTCTGAGGTTGAGAGGGAGGGGGAGGAGCAAGGGACACAGGGAGAGTGGGGGGAAGGGTAAGCAGTGCATTTACCCTTCCAAAAAAAAAAAGTTCCAGAGTAATTGTGAAAAAAATTGACCAGAAAGGAGAAATATTCATTCACTGGTAATTTTACTTTTAGCTCTGATATTTGCCTCGCACATAGTAGGTGCTCAATAAACAGCAGCTATTGAGCTTATTAGTAGTATTTGATCCCATTTGAAAAACTCAGAAGAGACCCTGGGTAAGTCTACTCCAGATGACAGTTCTGTGATTTCTGTGCTATTTTCTGAATTCTGTGCATTTTTGTATCATTGTGTGCTTCTCAGTCAGAATTTGTGGGTCTAACAGAGCCCCACAGAGCTCCAGGTCAGTCCCCACATGTCTCACTGGCCTTGGAAGGGATCGTAACTGGCACCCTCACAGGTCTTCCAAACACTCCTCCTCCTCCTTTTCTAGAAAAGCAACTAAAATCCAAAGTGGACGTGGAATATATACTCCTTAACTAGATTGAGAATTATTTAAAATGGGGGCCTCCCCTGGTGGTGGAGGTGGTTGAGCGCAGCACTGTGAAGCTGTTCGCAGCCTCTGCAGCACCGTTTTGATCCCAGCCGGCCGGCAAGGGTCCCACATGGTGCAGCAGACCTCTCCTGTCTCGCCCGCTGCTCCCCTCGGCAGTGTGTTTCATCTGTCTGCCTGTTCTGCTCCCCGCTCTGTCTCTGGTGAATCCTCTCACCCTCCCACGCATCTGGCCTGTATCCTGGTTCTTGTAAAAATAAATAAATAAATCTTTAAAAAAAAGAGAATTATTTAAAATGATATACTTACAGAAAGCTGAAAAATCTGCCAAATCAGAGGTGCAAAAAGATGCTTGTTTTCTTCTAAGAATCAGGGATCTCCGCCGATATTAACTTTCATAAGAGAAAAAAGGAAGCCGGTCACTTACGTAGAAAGTGAAGGAGCCAGACACTCAGCGGGTGCTCTGGGAGTGGAGCTGACTTTTGCTCTGGAAAGCACCGAGTGGTCTTAAATTACATAAATCCCTGCTCTGGTGATGTCATCCAAGGGACGACCCAAAAAGTGAGTCTTTCAGGAAGAAGTGAGCCGGGCTTGGAAAGGAAAACTGCTTTGCAAAATTTGGGACTGGCAAGAGGTGAGTCAGCAAGCTGCCCTCTCTCCCTTCACCTTGGGGCATCTGGGGCCCTCAAGCCCACCCAGAAACCGTTCTTCGGCCGGCGCGGCCCCCAGCATCTCTCGTGCTCACTGGTGCCCACCAGCCTCCGGGACCTTGAGTGACCACCTTGCCCAGCTCCCTGGGCTCTGCATGCCGCCTTCGTGAGAGTGGACTGGAATGTTCGAATTGGGGCTGGGAAGAAGACAGCGCCAAGAACCCATGCGTGGGACCCCATTAATCATGGGAAAGGGGGAAAATTTGAAACATGCAAAGTCCAGAGCTGAGTAAGAGCAGAGGCGCTTTTTCCTAATCCTCCCTGCCAGCTCCGAAGCCTGACTGGGAATGAAGCCTGCAGATGGCGGGACAGACTCCTCGGAGCCAGGATTCAGACAGTGAGGAGAGTCTGGTTTTAAGAGTCAGGCTGTGATTCCTTCCCACCTTCTATCTTGGCTCCTAAAATCAAGCTCCCCCCTAAATGCAGGGCTGGGCTTCTGGGCTCTGGGAAGGTGACCCCAATGGCTGGCCCTCAGCCTGCCTCTTGGACACTTCATCTGCGCCTCTCGGTCACCTGGGAGCAGAAACTGTCCCTGTGTCTTGAGAACCCGCGTCCCTTCTCTTCTGCAGACTCAGTGGGGACAGCCTCCTCTGCCCATTTCCCAGGAGCTCTCTCCTGTTGCTGGGTATCTCAAGACTGGAAGCTGGGGTGGGGGCGCTGGTAGGAGGGGCAGGGAAAGAACACTCTAAGGATTCAAAGGCTTAGAAGCAGATGTGCATTTTAGGGAGGGGGCTGGGCTTTTTGCTGTGGACAGGAGAGAACTAGGACTTCTTAGTCACCCAGATGTTAGCTGAGTTCTTTTGGGGACCAGAGCAAGGCTCCAATCTCAGTTCTTCCTAATTAGCAAGGTAGCTGGGGTTCCCCCCAGGCAGACCCCCTTTCAGAAAGGGCCTTTTCTCCCTTCAGTGTGAGCTGGACTGGACTCTGAGCAGCGTCTGCCCTGGGTAGACGCTTTGCCGCCCCTACTCGGGCTTCCTGGGGAGGGCGGGGCATGAGGCCAGTTCTGCTGGAGGCACAGTCAGGTCTGCGCCTGGTCTCGCCCCACGGGGAGGACAGACTGTGCAGAGCAGCAGCCGTGCACGTGAGGGCCATGTGTCCTGCACGCCCCGGTGAGGCCTGAGTAAGCTGCTCTTCGGGGAATGACTGTGTCAGCCTGGCCCAGACCACGGGGCCCCAGCCTGTGAGCGGAATGGAAGTTCTTTGCAGAAAATGCACCTTTGGTCGTCTCTCCTGCAGGAGGGGAAACAGGACTGGCCCTAGAGAGGAGAGTCTTTTGCTGCTTCTAGGCAGTGGGGAGGGGGCGTCTAAATTTGGGGGGCTGAGGGCCAGATTGGGGAGCCCCAAGTCTGTGAAGGGACAGCTGGCTCCTGTAATGGGGGACACAGGGAGGAGGCAGGTGCTTGGGCTCCGGAGGCTGGTTAGCCCTTCCTGCTAGAGTTGATTCGTCATCCCCTCCCTGTCCCTGGTGAAGCCTCAGCCTGGCATGAGCCGCATCTGGTGAAAGCGTCTGGGGCACCTGGGCACCTGCGGGGGTGAGGGGGGCAGGGAGGACAGCAGCAGAGACGGCGGGAGGCATAAACCCAAGTCTACGACAAAGAATTACAACCAGTTCCCTGCTTGCTGATTTTTGTCTTTCAGTCTGTCCAGCTGCTAAATTCATGTTCCAGAAGCACTTGACTGGTCACTTCATAGAACGGCAGCCCAACCCCTTCACATTCACAGACTCCACCAAGGTCCTGCTGTAGCGCGCAAAGCCGCCCACGCCAGGGTTTCCGGTGCCGGCTGCAGGGGTGCTGGGGGCTCCTCATGCATCCTGTCTTCCCAAGGGTGCTTGCTGGAAATCCCTGCCCACCCCACTCCTGCCTGACATCCACCCCTCTGGGGCCCGCTTAGCCCTCGGGGCCTCCGGGAGCACAGGGCTGAGTGTTCATCCCCGCAGGCCTGGGGGTACAGGCAGGTGTGGGCTGGGGGCCGGGGAGCCAGAGGCGGCTCAGCGTGCCCTGGGCCGGTCTCACTCTGGTGGGCAGAGCAAGCAAGGAAGCAAATATATGCAGCCAGGTGTGACCAAAGCCGCCGCAGAAGAGCGTGCAGCGTGCCTCCAAAGGGGTGGGAACGGCCGGGGTGAGTGAGGGGTCAAGGGGGATAAGAATAAAACCCTCCAGTCGATGGCACAAAGGCCAGGGCCCTGCAGACGGGAGGTGTGTCCCAGGCCCGGGCAGCCCTAGCCGCCACCCTGCTTCAGCAGATGACCTGCTGTCGGCCTTGAAGCCTGGGGCTCTGGGTGCTGGCCGCTGGGCCGGAGAGGCTGGACCAGGGTGTCCACAGACCAGGAAAGCTGTTACAAATCCACATAAACTCCCTGTCCCCAAGTTGGTCCTGGTTAGGAACTGCAGGTTCTCACTTGGGCGGTGGGAGAACCCCAGGAGCTGACACAGTCAGGGCCAGCTCGCAGGCCCAGCCAGGAAACCTCCCGGGACAGCACCCAGAGGAAGGACCATGGCAGGGACGGGCAGCCCTGCTCCTCTGTGTCCCAGAGCCCACACCAGTGCTCTGCTTGCAGCCCCCAAGGTGCTATCCCAGGAAAAGGGGACGCTGAGACTAGACAGTGGCTGCCAGACCCCCGTGTCCTGCTACCGCCTCCACGGGGCTTACCGGTTAGCTGCGGTGGCCTCCTCCTCCTGTCTACACATGTCCTCGCCCACCTCAGGGCCTTTGCACCAGCCTTTCCCTCTGCCTGGAGCATGTTTCCCCACAGAGAACTACTACCTTGCTCCCTCAGGAGTCTAGCCCCACAAGTCCCCCCCCATCAGCGAGCCCTGCCCTGCAGTAAGTTCCCCTCCTCGGCTGCCCCTCCATGTTCTCATAGATGTCAGCTGCGTGCATTTGTCTATCTCGGGACCGGCGCTGTGGTCCTTGTTTCCTCCCTCGCGCCCCTGCTGGAATGTGGCACAGGCAAGGGGTTTAGCCCCATCCCCCCAACAGGACTCCCAAGGAGCAGGTGCTTAATAAATATTCACTGAATGAATTCAGAACCCTCTGTGTTTGTACGTAATAACATCAGTAGTTTATGTCAACACAACCCCTTGTGGGTGCCGGGTCCTGTGTGGGCCATGGGGGTGGGGAGACAGAGCTGGATGGCTCCCTCCTCTGCCCCTTGGTCTGACCAAAGGGCAGGACAGACAGACATCCAGCAACTGTGTGTGTAGCAGGTGGGGTGATGATGAAAGGCCAGGCTCTGTCCCAGTATGAAGAGTGAAAAATTTAAATCTGCTAAAGGCAAAATCTAGAAAGAGCTGATGGTTGAGGGATGGATATTTGAGCTGGGTTTTGAGGCATGAGTAAGAGTTTGGAAGGCAGGCAAGCTGAGAAAAGAGCTGCAGGAGAAGGACCAGCATGTGTGTTATAGACATATGTATGCACAAATGAATTTGTGGAAGCCTCACCTGGCCTGGGAGTCAGGAAGCCCATGTGCTCATTCTTTCTGTGAGTATCCAGTATGCAGGCGCGGTGTGTGGGTGCCCCAAAGGCTCCTGCTTGTTGCAGAATGAGAATTAAACCATTTCTGTGTAAAGCCAGGAGTTGTCTGACAACAGGTACAAAGAGGGGGTCAGCCACCTGCAGGACTCCCTGCAAGAGAGCTGGGGCCTGGGGGGCTCTGGTGCTCACTCCCTTCATCCAGCAACTCTCCCTTTTCCCTTTTGGGTTTGTGTGAAGATCAGATAAATGTGTGGAAATGGTCAAGATTGCGTGACGTGGGTGTTCACAGGATAAGGCAAATCATGGGTGTTGATGCAGTTTTATGATGTTTTCCTTTGTGACTTGGCAGAACAGGCCCATTTGAAAAACCTCTTACATCATCTGCAATCAGTCTAGATGCCAAGTGGATCCAGCAAAAAATGGGGGCTTGGAATAAAATGAGATTTCCTTGGAAATCAGTAGTTCACAGAATGGGTGCTGTGAGCGCTGTCTTCAGCCTTCAGCACATGGTCCCATGGTTGGAGCAGCTTCTGTGAATCCTAAGACTCTACACAATGCAGAGAAGACTTGGGGTCACCCTTGACTGTCCCAGCCTTGGTGGGGGCTGTGAATTGGTGACAAGAGACAGACAAGAGAGGACCACGTAGGATTCTCCTCCTGGAGCCTCGGTTTCTTGGCCTGTGAGGGGGCCCCTTCTCAGAGTTCGGAGGTCACACGAGCTAGTGCCATCACGTCACTAGTGGTGTTGCTCGCCTCTTGCACAAGCCTGTGGTGACATTGCCATGAGGCTGCGTGGCTGTGCTCTGGCCTGGCCGGGACCAGGAGAGGAAGCAGTGGGCTATGCAGGGCGACTCAGCCCGCAGAGTGTCCAGAGGAGGCTCACGTGCCTCCCAGCCTATCTCCAGGTAGTCGGTACCCCCTCCCGCCCCCATGGCTTGTGATCGGGCCATCCAGAGCCAGCGGCAGGGCCAGCGACCCAGCCTGGTCTGGGACTTGACCAGCCTGGCTCTGGAGTCTGGGGAAGGAAGAGAAAAGCCGGACAGCCTGGTGCTGGGTCAGCTTGCTGGCCACCCAACACTGTCAGTCCTGTAATGCCAACACTCTGGAGGCCTGGGCTGACCTTGACTGTGTTGCATGGCCTTGGGAAAGGCCTCAGTCTCCTCTTGAAAAAATCTGTAAAATTCTGTTATATGGGTTATTCTATTCTCAGGAATAGCCAGCATCTCCAGTCCCAAGGAGACCTGGGCAAAGAGTGACCCTTCCATTGCTTCATCACCCCAAACTGATGGCACCTGTGCCCATCACCCAGGCTGCCAAAGTGGGGCTCAAAACAGCAGACACGCCTTGTGACCCACCTGAGTCTGGAAGCCCAGACTCTGGTGTTGGGGTGGGGGGGTTGGGTTCAGCTAAGGCCCCAAGGGCGAGTGTTCTGTTCTCCACCCCAGCTTCTGGGGGTTTCAGGCAATTCTTGGCCATGCTGGGTTTGAGCAGCATCTGTCATTTGCTCATGGCCGCTGTCTGTGTCAGTGTGTCCGTGAACCCCAGTCACTGGATCTGCAGCCCAGCCTAACCCAGCATGGCCACAGGAACTCAGTGACTTCAGCAAAGGCCTTATCCCCAAACTAAGTTACATTCAGGGGTTCCATTAGATGTGGATTTTTTTGGGGGGGAGGACAGGGAGCACTATTCAACCCACGAGGTGAAGAAACAGAAATGCAGAGAATGCAACTGACCGTGCCCACAATCCCACAGCCAGGAAGTGACAGGGCTGGGGTATGGCCACTGCCTGGTTCCAAGTCCAGGCAGCCCTGTCCCCTGCTGCTGCCCTTTGTAATTTTCATAGCTCCCTTTTCGGAGCCCAGGGTGACGCAGGCATGCTCACTGTATCACCTGCTCGTGGTACAGATGAGGACAATTTGGTCAAAGCTGGGGAGGCTGGGGGTGGGGTGGAGAGGAGGGAGGAGCAGGCCCTGTGGGCCAGGATCCCAGGGTGAGCGGTGTGGTGGAGGCTCCAGGCCTGGCCTCCGGAGCTCTCTTCCGTGATGAAGTATCACGTCTCCGTGCCAGCTAGCGGTGAGAAGCCAGACACAAAGGCACACTGTATGATGCCTCCTAAATGAAGCACCCAGAGAGGCAAACCTTGGGACAGCAAGAAGACCAGACCACAGAGCTGTGGGCGGGAGAAATGGGAGGCATCTGCTCATGGGTGGTGGTTTCATTTTGGGGTGATGAATAGGTCTGGCCAAGGAACAGGGGTGCTTGCACAACCTTGGGGATTTACTGAAAGCCTCAGGGGTGGGGAAACTGAATGGCAGGCAAACAACAGCTTAACAAAGTGGCTATAAAAACAAAATAAGGGGGTTGCAATTGTATGGGGAATATAAAAATAACATTAAAAAAAAAAAAACAACCAATCTCAAGGTAAGGCTCTGGGGAGGTCAAACTGCAAGAGACACATGCTCATGGCTGAGCAGATGCAAAGCCTGTTGACGGGGTGGAAACAGCCAAGCCCAGGCTCCGAAGCTCTTCATGCGAGGAGACAGCTTGCGGGCTCTTTTTATGATGCAATCTGCACCCCTGTTCAGGTGCGAGAAGCAGGGGAGCAGGTGGGCTTCTGGAGCACCCCCGCCCCCAAGAACACAGCAGCCTTAGCAAGCACTTCCCTCTGTTTCCACAGTGTGCACTGGCGACATGCAAGCACCTACCGACCCGGGTGGCCTGAATGGGGCCCCTTGGACAGGAGCCAGAAAACCACAAACCACCATCCCATTTTCAGCCAGCTCTGGCCAAACCATGACCTCTGGCACCTCCCTGATCCCCTCCAGGGCTGTGCCTCGTGAGGCTCTGCCATGGGCCCAGGGATTGGGTCACAGTGGGCACGCTGAATGCGGGTCTACAAATGGAGATGTCGCGGGGTGCTCAGAAGCCCACAGCCCAGCCCTAGTGGCCACGGTCGCCAGCGCGAGCTCCTGCCGGGTCCCAGGCGGCCTCACCAGACCGCCAGGGGCAGACTCGGGAGCTGGACCAGAGCACCAGACACTCCGCTGCGTTTCTCCCCATCACACCACTTGTGGCAGACAAGGAGGGTCTGAGCTGAGGGTCTGCTTGCGCTGCCCAGCTGGGCTGGGGAGCCAGAGGAGCTTCGCTCAGCCGTTTCCACCTGCTGAGCTCCCTGCTCAGATTCCAGCGAGCGGCTTCCCTTGAGTCAAGCTCATATATGTGACCCAGGTCCTCGGTGAGTGAGTGCCCTTGGGCGCTGGCGGGAAACTTTCTGCAAGCTCAGAACTGTTGGTGGGGGCTGTAGGCTGGGGGTGGGCAGGCAGTGTGGGCTCTGGAGGGAGCCCAGGATACTTGCTGGGTCTGCAGGTCCTGGGGTCCCATACGGCTGGAGGGGGAGAGACAAGGCCAGATCAGGGCAGGTCTGGGGAGCCGTGTTACATTTGCGGAGCTTTGTGCTGAGGGTGGCGGGTCCACTGAAGGACTCCCTGCTGGGCCGTGCCAGCCTCTCCTGTGCTGCCATCTTTATCAGCCTCATCATCACGATCTTCATCCTCCTCCACATCACCATCCCATCACCATCCTCATCACCACCATCCTCATCACCACCATCCTCATCACCATCATCATCACCACCATGCTCATCACCACCATCCTCATGACCGTCACCATCCCCCTGCCCACATTAGCCTCCCATCCCCGTCACCACCAGCACATCCCCTCTCTTCCCACCATCATCGCCACCACGGAAACACACATGCATGTTGCCAGCTCTGCACCAGGCTGTGCTGAACACTTTCACACATTAATCCTGTGAACCATCCCCTGGGGTAGGTAACACTATCACCACAGTTTACAGATGAGGAAATATAGACTCAGACCACACAGCAAGTAAGAGCTCAAGCCAGGCCAGAACTGGAATCCGGGTCTGCCTGACACCAAAACCTTGAACCCTACACGCCTCTGTTCACCTTCACAGCCTCCTTGTGATGCTTTCAGAGTCTTAAAAGACGTCCGTGGCTGCAGTGTGGAGAATAAGATTGGGAGGATAAGATTGGCGTCAGACATGGGAAAGTTGATAAGAGACGAGGTGGGCCTGGAAAGAAGCAGAGAGGGCCAGGAAGCACGCGGCAGGTGGGGTCTGAGACGCGCTGACCCACAAGTGCATGGGATGGAGGGGGCTTCCTGTAAAGAGGAGCCCCAGGTTTCTGGCGTGGGTCAGGGTGCCATGGACGGAGGCTCAGAACGCAAGTGACATTTCATGGAGTAGGAATGAGGGAAAGCCAGGGTCACCGAGTCCCTCCTCGCTAGGAGCAGGGAAGCAGTGGCCGGGCGGCTGCTTGATCTGGATAGTGTAGTGGAAACGCCTGGTTTGAAGAGGAGGCGGGGTGAACATATGTGCATTCATGAATGATCAAACCATGCCATCCTATGATTCTAGGGTCTCATGGGGCCTCATGGGCCCTGGGGGGGAGCTGGGTGATGAGTTACCAAGGTAGGACACTGTGGGGCAGGGAGAGGGATGGTCAAATCCTATTAATATTCTCAATTTCTACTTGAGTATATTTTAGAATGTGCATTTTAGTACATGTCAGTAAGTATATGCGTTGAGTAGAATATAATAAGTATACTCCATTGTACATGAAAGAATGCAAGTCACATCAGCCTGCGCACCACTGCTCTACAGCACAGAAGCCCTAAAGCAGCTTGCGTGGAAACCAATGGAAGCTTCCTCCCGCCTTTACCCCTCACCCCCCAGGTTTCCAAGTGACCGAGGCAGTGTCCCTGACAAAACTCAGGGTTTGGGGGAGTTGTAACAAATGAAAAAATTATGCAAACACTCTTCATACATTTATTATGCTGCACAGAAAAACACACGTTTACGCCACTCGTGCAGACACACTTCCCCTTTACACAGTCAGCGCTTCCGGCCTCTCCCAGGACAGATGTTCGCGGCGCATCACACAAGCCACAGGGCGGCTTGCCTCCCGCTGACCGACCGACTGTCCTCAGACCACAAGAGCCCTGGATGACCATCAGGAGCCCAGGCTCTGCCGCTCAGGAGCTCCGAGCTCTCCAGGCCTCCTTCCTCCTTCACAAAGGGTGCACGACTTCATACTGCTCATTGCACGGGTTTCCTTCTCCAGCCACACGTGTTAACTGGGAGGCGGGTGGGTGTTGGGGGTGAAGAGGGTTGGGTGGGGAGGGAATCTTTTTGACTCCTTTTGTTTTAAAATCTGGAGCTGGACCGGCCAGGATTTATGGGCTCACGAACCCCGCCCCTCCTGGTCCTCTCCTCTCTAGAGGTAGCTGGCGAATAGATGCTCCTTCATCGGGTGAGCCAGAGCTGCCTGCGCGCTGCCCACTCCACTGTCCCTGCAGCCCCTGGACGCCTTGGGTGTGGCCCCAGGTGCCTGCCTGGAGTGTAATTCTTGACGCTGGGGCCTGGCGCTGTGTTCCCCCATCTCCCGTGGGGCTTGGCGCGGTGCTAGTCACAGGACCGGATAATTAAATTGTGTAGAAAAGGAAGAAACAAATTCTTCTGGCAGGAGTCAGGGCTGGGGCCCGGGCTGTCTCCAGTCTCTGGCTGAGGACGCTGGTCCAAGCTTCCTCCTGCCCGCTCGTGGGACGGCAGTCTGCCTCGCCCTCCACCCCTTCCAAGGGCAGCAGTATCCCGGCCCCTTTGGAGTTGGTTCTATGGACAAATGAAGAACTGAGAGGCCTCTTGGGGTAATTCTCCCGTCTCTGTTCAGCACCCCACCTGCCCATCATGTGGGGTGTTGTCCTCAGGGTTTTCTCATGGTTGTATGTTCCCAGCTCAGGCAGCTCAGCTGGGAACCTGACCTCACAGCCTGGCAGCTGCAGGGGACAGGGATGGGGTGCTTAATGCCACCTCTCTTTACCCCCTGGCTACATAGGGGAGTGCGGCCCGGGAGCTGAGACAGGGATGTGGTGAGCAGACATGGACTACTCCTGCCTGCCGCCTGGGCATTGGGATTCCCTGTGCACGTGGGAGCAGAAGACTCTGCCTCATCACAAATCAAACACTGAAGCGAGGGCCTGCCCGCTAAATGCCAGGGTTATGGGGAGGGAGGGTGGAAGGGAGCTAACTTTATTGAGCACCTACTACGAGCCACACAGGGAGGGGCTTTACACCTTCTCCTTGTAGGGCTCTTGTTAGCCCTCCCTCCTTTTCCCGTGTAATAAACTGATCTGTGTTCTGGGTGCATAAAACCAGCTCACATTTAAATAGCACCTTTCACTTTTCAAAGTACTTCCAGGCCTGTTATCTCTGTTAATCCTCACAAAACCCTCCTGTTACAGAGGAGGAAACTGAGGCCGTGACAACTAGTTGTTGGCTGAGCCGGGAACTGGGCTCCTCCTCACTGGTCTGCCCAATGCCAGGGCCCGCAGGTGGAAGCCAGGTCTCCGTCATCCTCACGGATTTGCAAGTTCCTTTAAGACAGAGACCGCACTTGCCCCTTCCTCTGGTCCACGGAGCTGAATGCTGCATCAGCAGCAGGTGCTGAGTTCGTGCTTATTGGGTTTCTCTTTGGCACAGATCTCCTTGTGCGTTGGCGAAGGGAGACACGGAATCCTGGTCTTTGAGTTCTTACCAGGGATCCCTCAGAGTTCAACCCTCATAGGTAAAAAATCCTCCTCCAGAGGCCTAGTCAAGTGCATTAAAGAAACTGCAGGCAAAACGCAGCCAACGCTGCCTTCGCCCTCAGCTACGGCTCCAAACCAGGGCGACTGTTCTCCACCAGGGCTGTGTGCTGTGAAGGGGGGGATGCAGGGAGGGCAGCTCAGTCACCTCTGTCCCTGTTCCTGGGGCCCCTCCATGCCTGGCGGGAGCAGCCTGGCCCAGGGGTGGCAGCTAACGGGAATAGTGAAGCAGTGATAATGTAGTGGGGAGACTTGGGCTGGGCCTGGGGGGCCCCATCCTCACAGCTATGCTCACTGCCACTTGGGCCGGGCAGATGCTCCTGTGTTTTACCAGAGACGCAGGCTCATCGTCCAGAGTCACTGGTGGGGCGCCTTCCAAGCTGCCCCTCGGGCACCTGAAGACTGTCCACGGACCCTCATATGCATGGATAGCAGCCGTGCTGCCTCTGCTCACTGGCTGCTCCCCACCCACTCCGGCAACTTCTGCATCTGGCGGTCCACCGAGATGGAGGTCCGCAGCGTGCCCATGGAGCTCTCCAGCTGGCTGGGTCTGGACTCACAGCCCCCACTCCGGCACAGTCTGCAGAACACCTCCCGCGACTTCTTACGGAAGCGCTTGCCCACGATCACGTACACCAGTGGGTTGAGGCAGCTGTTGCTGTAGGCCACATAGGTTGATATTTGCGTGAACACGTCAATGATCTTCTCGTCCCAGCAGCCCGAGAGGACGCGCAGGCGCAGCAGCGTGTCCAGGAAGGTGCTGATCTGGAAGGGCAGCCAGCAGATGATGAAGAGCAGCAGCACGGCCAGGACCAGCACCGTGGCCTTCCTCTCCGTCTGGATCTCCTTGAACTTCTGCATCTCGTTGTTGCGCAGCACCTGCATGATCTGCACCGTGCAGAAGGTGATGATGACCAGGGGCAGCAGGAAGCCCACGAAGTTCAGGAGCATGTTGGTGAACACCTCCCACGTTCTGGATGGGTAGATGATCATGCAGGCAGTGACATTGTAGCCCTCTTCTCTGTACTCCTTCATGGTCCTGAAGACCAGCATGGGTGAGCTCAGGAGCAGCGTGCACCCCCAGATCACCAGGCTGTAGAGCTTGGCACAGCGGACCCCGCGCATCCGGCCCATGGACATGGTCTTCACCAGGGCCAGGTAGCGGTCAATGCTCACCAGGATCAGGAAGCAGATGCTGCTGTAGAGGTTCATGTACACCACTGTGTTCACCACGCGGCACATGACCTCCCCGAAGAGCCAGTCAAAGTTGTTGGCGATGGTGATGGCCCAGAAGGGCAGCCCGCAGGCCAGCATCAGGTCCGCCACCGCCAGGTTGCCCAGGTAGATCTCTGCCACGGTGCAGCTGCTTTTGTGCAGGCAGAAGACGCTGAGGACGAAGATGTTCTCGAGCGCTGCCAGGATAAAGAGGACCCAGAGGAAGGGGGCCTGCATGGTATTAAGCCAGACGCCCCACTCCAAGGGGAGACATGAGGAGCTCACGTTGAGAGCAGGCGTGAGGGCTGAGGAGGTGGCGTTGAGCATGTCGCTGCTGAAAGAAAGTGGAAAAGAGGCTGTTACACCTCAAGGTCACAGAGAAGGAGAAACACGAATGCAGGAAGAGAAGGGGGTGAGGCCGCCCGTCTGTCGAGGCTGCTTCCAGGAGGTGAAGGCAGGGAGGGAACTCGGGTTCAAGTTCAGAGGCTCAGGTCCGGCTTCTGGGAGGTGTCCTTGGCCACTGTCCATCACCAGCATGAACAACCCTGAGCCGTGGACCCCGGGCCTCCTGGAAGCTTCCAGCAGGGGAGGAGACGCAGCACATTCCTTCCTTATCACACGGCTCCTCCTCCCAGGGAGCTGGTCATCTTGAGCTTCTCACAGCCTGGCCGTGGATGAGTAGTTTATTAGAAGACAAAAATGCTATCATGCCCATGGGGAGATGCCAGCCTGCGCCGAGACACGCCCAGCTGCCCAGACCCTGGACGTCCTTCAGCAAATCTGGGGGGATTAGGGGTGCGTGATAGAGGAGGCAGGGGCGCTGGTGCCAGGCAGTCCTCCCAGGCTCAACTCCCGGCGCATTCCTGAGCTGTGTGACCTTGCGTGAGTTAATTAGCTTCTGTGGATCTCAATCATCTACCTTGTAAAATGGAACTGACAGAATGTAGCAGTCAGGGGGGTGCTGGGGATGGGACGCAATGTACAAAAAGCCCTGAGCACTTGGATGGGTCACACAGACATTGTCTGCTTTTGTGAGCTGAGTGAAATAGCCCAGGTCCGGCTGCAGCGCCCCGTCTGCAGGCCCTTGCTCCCGTGTGGCCACCTCGTTACACTCCCCTGGCTCCACTTCACTCCGGGCGAGACTCAGACCACGGGGCTGTCCACCTTCGAGAAGGGCCACGGGCAAGGCTAACTCCCTTCAGCAAAGAGCATGGGCTGGGAAGGCGTAGACTGGCTTGCAAACCCAGCTGTGTGGTCTTGGGCAAATTACGGGCCTCTCTGAGCATCCAGGTGGTTTTCTTTGGACTAGAGTGTTACTGTCTTCCTGGCCCACCCGGCATGACTGTTGTGAGGTTCAAATCAAAGCGTGGGGATGAAGACTCCTGGAAAAGTTGAAGTACGACCCTAGATGCTAGGACTAATTGGGGATTTTCCTAGAGCCGAGGGCGGGTGAGAGAAGGCCGAGGTAGAAAGGCTGGTCCCTGGGGGTTACTTGTTGGGCAGTCTGAGGGGGGTGGGGGGAGTTGAGCAAGGAAAGATGGGAAAGAAGCTCCTGGTTGTCTGGGAAATTCCCAGAAAAAGCCCCTTGCTCATGGGCCCGGAGGCGCCAGATGGAGGGCCTGTGATTAACGCTCTCCTCACGCACACGCACTCACTTGTGGCAGCTTCTGAGCTCTGTGCTGAGCCCCATCCTGGCTGCGGGGAGCCAGAGGGTACGACCCCCTCCCTGCCCCTGCCCAGCTGTGACGACACAGCCCTGTGTGTGAGGAGGGGCTGAGGAAGGGGGGCTCTGCATGCAGAATGGGGGACAGAGGAGGATGGAGGTGACTTTGGAGATGGGTCTGGAAGGATGAGGACGGTATCAACAGGGCACAAGAAGGAAGGAGGGAAGACCAGGCAGAGGGGACAGCTTGAGCAGAGGTGCCGGGGAGGGAAGCTGCTGGCATGTTCTGGAAGGTGAACTAGGGCTTGAATGGGGAAGTGGGAAGTTGCAAGAGATGAGGCTGAATAAGGGAGTGTGATGGTCTTCACAGGTGCTCAGAGGTGAGGTTTTGCCCTGAGGGCTTTAAGGAGGGCGTGATGGGATGGGACATGTGCTCTGGAAAGACCCGTATGATGGATCTTTGTTTCAGTATGTCCAACAACTCTTTCATATTTCCAAAACTTCCTTGCTGTTCCTCACTTCACAAGCAGAGATTGATTCCTCTTCCAGTGAGTGTGACGGGGCTCAGTGACTTGCTTCCCACCCACGGAGGCAGTGACAGCCGTGAATGACCTGCCTAGGGCCTGAGGGCATTGCGCCCACTCACCCAGGGAGAGAGGTGGTGGGGGGTTGTGACTGTGGGAGGGGTTTGGAGGGAGGGGCAGCTGCCATGTTGTGAGGATACTCATGCAACCTTGTGGAGAGGAATGACCTAGTACCTTGGCAGTGGACCTTCTGCCCTCAGGTAAGCCTTTGTTAATTTTGATCCCCCCACTTTTGAGTTTTCCAGCTAACACACACACACACACACACAGAGACATTGCAAATCCATCCCCACTACATTTCTGACCCATGGATGCTGGTGGGCTTCTCTGCAGGGAGCCCTCTGAAGGTCAGACCTCTCTTGGTCCAGCCTTTGGCTCCATTTCCTTTTCTATCTCTTCAGTGCCCGGTTTGGGGAGGGGGTCTGTCACCTGTTGCCCAGCTCTCAGAGATCTAGCCACAGCACCTGAACACCACGTTCATTTCCCAGCAAGACATTCCCCAGCCAGCAGGGCGGCACCTGACCCGCAGCGGGCACTGAGAAGCAGGTCAGGGAGATGCATAATTGGGGGGCCTCTACTGACAACCTGGCTGGTTGTCCTGAGGGCCAGGAAAAGGAACTCTCCCTTTTGCACTGCTGGAAAGTGTCTGCCGTGCCAAGGCTGCCCCCAGAGGTCAGAGTCAGCAGAATGACTCTTGTTCACCTCGAAGAACCCTGGGGTGATCTCCACAAAGGTCCAGGACCAAGCTGCGTTTGCAAGTCGCAGGAAGAAGACAGATGACAGCAACCTGACTGCACCGTCATGCCCACAGGGGCACCAGTGTGAGAAGAGATTCAAATGATCCTTGGTCCCCACGACTCCTGGACACAGGCAGCTCTGCCTTGTCTGTGCCGTCAGATCAAGGGAGGACTTGAAGTCAGGACAGTTTCTCCTTTACCAGTTCTCTAAGTTCATTAGAAACCAGCCTCGTCAACAAACCCAATGTGTTGGCAATCACCTAAACGTCTGCTCTCCTTTGTTAAGTTGAGCGTCCTTTCTGAGCCTGTAACCACGGCCTAACCCTTGAACGCGGGTCCAGTCTCTCCGAGCCAGGACCTCCCTTTGGCTCTGAACAAGCTTTTCAGTACATTTCTCTTTTACCAAACTTCGGTAAAGTTCATAGCGGTGAGAATTTCAGCTGATGTCCGAGGTCTCACATGGCCGCCTCTGCCACAGGACTGAGAGGCCAGGCTGGGTCCTCCTGCTTTGTCCTGCTGACATTGCTCCCCAGCCTGGCCGACCCTCTCCTTCCTCTGCTTCCACTCGAGGCCGGCTCCCCACACCCTCCCCTCAGCATGTCCTGCAGCCGCTGCCACGTGTCGCCTCCCTCTGACTCTGGGGCTGGCCTCAAAGCCTCACTCTCCTCACGTCCAAGAAGGCTCATGCAGCTTGCAGTGACCCCTAGTCTGTGTCCTTCTGCACCCCCCCTCACCCCTCTCCCTGAGGGTCTTTCCCTCCACTCCTGACAGGCTTGTGGGGTAGAACCCTGGCCTCACAGCCCTTGAGAGGCTTTGCTTTGGGTTTGACATCGCTACTGCCCCAACCGTTGTCGGGAAGATGAGGGTCATGCTCTCCCGAGAACTCACAGGTTGTCTGCCCCCCAAACAGTCAACAGAAGAATCGGTCAGACTTACCTGACGGAGGCCATGGTGGGTGTGGGCTCGTCAATAACAGACAGGAACATGGGGTTCCAGGAGAACATTTGGACGTGAGGGGTGCCCCGCCTGGCTGATCAAATGAGAAAAGATGGTTAGATGGGGTGGGGTAGTTTCCACAGAACACACGTGCACATGTGCTCCCCACCAGGGGAGGCGAATGGAGACCTTTGCCTGACGGATATTTATTAAGCACCTACTGCCTACGGGGTGCAGGGCTGTCGTGGTGAGAACAGGACCACAGTCCAGTGGAGAATCACTCAAGTGATTTCTAATGATTGCAGACGGACATAAGTGCCATGAAATGAAATGAATTACAATATACAGCAGGGGTCCGAGAGCAGCCTGGGGCAGGAGGCGAGTGGATGGGTACTGTGATGAACAGGGTGAGGGATGGCAGGGAAATCTGGGTGGAGGAGCAGCAGGTGCAAATGCCCTGAGGCAGGAAGAAGCTTGGTGAAGGTATGTTACACCAGCAGGTGCATGGGAGACAAGATTGTGTTGGGGTGTGGGGGCGAGCAGAGTGAATACACAGAGACCGTTTAGTGGGCACTGCCTGTTAGCCCGGGCACGGAATGCGGAGGTGGAAGATGATGCGTTCCGCGGTATTTGCGAGCCCATTTGGGGCAAGATTGGACATGGAGGGGTTAGGGATGAGGCTGAGAAGGGTGTCAAGAATGCCCGCACCCAGGTGATGCCCTCTGCTACCAAGGGGAGGGCTGACTGGAGAGACAGGGTCATCATGTTTTGAGACTTGAACCTGTTAACTTTGAGGTGCTTCAGGTGGGGATAAAAGGAGTTGGTGGCTCCAGCGAGGGGAGGCATCGGGGCTCGAGTCCGGCTCGCTCTGATGTGACAGAAGTAAACTGGACACTAGGTCTCCAGAGAGCATGAGGGAGACCAGTACCGAAGAGTAATTCTAACCCACTGTGAGGGTCAATGCTTTCCCCCCGCAGCTTCTTCCTCCCCGTCCAGGGAGGGGCACCAGCTGCACACTGGCCTTGCAGAGCACAAAGCCAGGTGCAGAGAGATGGTGACATGTCTGAGCACCGTCACTGCTGGCAAGACCTGGAGGTGGGACTAAACCCCCTCTGGTGTCAGACCTCAAGCTCTTTCCAGGATCCCACGTAACCTCCCGCTCCCGCCTAGGAAGTGTGTGCAAAGTGTATGTGTGCATCCACGTGTGTACACGTGTGTACCTGCCTCCCCTAGTTTTCCACCTTTCAGCTCAAGAGCGCTTGGCTCTGGGTTTGCAGAAGCCCCCTCTCCTAACCCAGTTGCAGGAGGCGGACATAAGGCAGTGGATGATTCTGGAAACTTGACTACAGTAGAAAAAGAAAAAGCCGAGTGGACAAATAGGAAACTAAATGGCAGGTAATCAGTTGACAGCTGGGAAAAGTTCAAGAATCCCAAGAGCACTGGGAGTCCATGAGCAGCCAAGTCCTGTCGTCCTTCAAGGAGGGCGTTGGGGGGAATGAGGATAGGCCCAGAAGACTGTCTTTCAGAGGGGCCCTCGCTGCTCACCGAAAGACCATTCAATGTGGTCACACATGTTGGAATCATTCTAACCTCAACAATCACTGCACCCCTCTCACCTGCCGGGACACAGTGGGGACAACTGACGATAGCCCCCCTCAACCCCCGGTCCCTGGGCTCCTTCTCTTGCTGGGTTGTCCGATGAGGGAGCTTAGCCAGCCTGAATTCCCATCTGGACATTGTCAGCCATCCAGGGCCTCCTGACCTGAGGGGTGTCTGGCCATGGTCCAGCAGCAGCCCTCCTGTGGGCGCACCTGCCTAGGTGTTCCTGGGCCTAGCCCAGTCTGCCAGCTGGAACCTAACTGCCTGACAATGCTGTAAACATTGTCCTCTGTTAATTTCAGAACAAAGTAGCAGATTTTCTCTCTTGAAGTGTCCAAAGAACAGGTCCTAAGAGAACTGGGGAGTCTGAGGGTGATGGGAATTGCTCCTCTGCATCTGATTTGCAGGCCTGCCCTGGGTGGGGCCTTGGCTGGCGGCTGGTGCTGCACCAGGCTTTCCTGCCATCTGGCTTCCCCGTGGGGCTTGACCAGTGGGGTCACCAGCAGGAGGCCCAGGGAGGAAGGGGATTGAGGGTGGGGCTGTGGCTCCCAGCTCCCTCCCCTGGGGCCTCAGAGATTGGCCCATCCTGGTTCAGGGCCCCACAGCCCTTACCAGGGTGCTTTCCACAGGCCTCACTTCCTGGTGATGGTCGTCAGGGCCACCTCCTTTCGGGCTCAGGGGGCGGACCCCCAGCTGCGGCTCTGAGACACCTGGCAGTGTCCCTCACACTGCCTGCCCCTGCAAACAGATGCCCTGTTGTGGTTCTCTGGGGTCTAATACAGCCTGGGGCTTAAGCACCCGGGTGTCAGAGGAGTGGAGTGTGGTGAGGCGCTCAGGCATGGGGCGCTGTGTGTGATATTGGGGTCCCTTTATGTCCCTGGGCATCATGCTCAGAGCTGGGTGGTGGTTTATGTTAGGAGGGGGCACTTAAGCCCCTCGCAGATGGACCCTCCTGCTGGGGTTTGGTGCAGATGAGCTGACCCACCACTAACTTAAATGAAAAATGAGCATCATTACTCTCTCTCTCTCTCTCTCTCTCTCTCTCTCTCTCTCTCTCTCTCACACACACACACACACTGTAAAAAATAATGGAATGGAATAGAACACTATGAAAGCCTGGCTGGATTCAGGGGCCACCAGGCCTGGGCCCACTATATGGGCTGAGGGGGAGATGACAGACCCAGAGAGGAGCTCAGACGCCAGCCCCCAAGACCGTGATGAAGGAATCGAGGTTCTTTGGCTTCCGGAACATGACCCTGGCTCTGGGCAAGCCTGCGGCCCGAATAGACAGCCACACAGCTCAGGACAGGAGCGGGCTGCCAGGGCGGGCTCCCTACAAGGCAAAACTCTGCCCCGGAGGTGACGAGGGGTGTGATGAGGCCGGACAATCATCCTGGGAGCCCAAAATAGGCTCCCTCTGAGACCAGGGTGGGATTTGCTCCTGAGGGCGCTGAGATCCAGTATTTACATGATTCAATGAAGGGCGATCTTTCTAAAGTGAGTGTTCTTGGACAGAATTCCGGCGCAGACAGCACGAGAGTGTCAGAGGCGGCGCGTGCTGCTGCAGCGTCAGCGTGAAAAAAGGGGGTGATGTTCCAAAGCGGCCGCTCTGAAACAGGAGCCAGAGCTGGAGCCTGTGGGCCTGGGATGCACAGCCCCAGGGCTGCCTCTGGCTGGAAACCGGCCCTGCAGACAGGGAGGCCCAGCCCCATTCTCCTCCACTCTAAAGTGGGGCTAGCATAGAACAGACCCCTCCAATTCCATCCACCACCCCCCCCCCCCGGCCCCCCGCACCTCCAGCTCCCAGCCTCCCAGCCCTGCTGTAGGAGCAGATGAATTAACACACTTTGGCTGCAGGATGTAACGTGCTCAGGAATGCGAGCAGTCATTCCTGCCCCCAGAGGGCCCAACACTCTGGCCACATGGCGGGGATCAAGGGGCGTCTCCCGCATGGTCTGCTCTGCCGCTCACAGCACTGGACACTGCGCAGCTGTATGTGACTCAGGGACACCACCTGCCGGCTGTTCTGGGGGCCCCTCGGAGACACAGGGTTCCGCACTTGGTCCCAGGGGCTGTTCTCTTTTGTCTCTTGCATCCCCAATTCAGTGACAGCTGTAAGTGTGTGTGTCCTTCTGTCTGCCCCACGTCAGGCCTACCTTGTGTCACTGCATTTCCTTTCCTGCACTCCCCAGAGAGCGGGTCTTTGACACATGGGAGGCTGGAGGCCACCCTGCGCCCAGCAAGTCCATCGGGCTGCTTTCCAGCAGTCGCTGCTCTCCTCCCTTCCGGTGCCCCAGTAACGAAGGCCTGCGCGTGGTTGTCCTGGGCGTGACTCTGGCACCCCTAAGAGCCCCAAGAGCCCCCCAGCCTGCGTCTCCTTTCACAAACCTCTTCGCTTTCCAAGACAGCCCACTTGTGTCATGCAAGTGTCTTCTCCTTCCTGACACACCTGTTCTTTAAAAATGTCAAAAGAAAAGACGACCCTAGAGTGTCACATATAACTTTCAAGCACACTATGATTTCACGTAGTCTGAACACACCCGCACTGTCTCTGACCGTGTCTGTGTCTCCTCCAAGGGAAGGCTCCTGCCTCCCTCCTCTTGCCATGCCTGCTGCGGTGTTTCGCACATCCTGTCCCAACCTCTTGAAAACCATGTTCTCCTGGGCCTCCCCAGTGGCGCAGAGGTTGAGCGCTGGGTTGCGAAGCTGCCTGCAGCCTCTACAGCGCCAGTTCGATCCCCGGCTGCTCCCCGGCCACCGGAGGGTCTGCATGGCGCGCAGACCTCTCCTGCTGCCCGCTGCTCCCCTCAGCAGTGTACTTCGGTCCTTCTGCCTGTTCTGCCCCCCGCTCTGGCTCTGGTGAATTCTCTCACCCTCCTGCGCTTGACTGTACCCAGTGCTTGTATAAATAAATAAATAAATCTTTAAAAAAAAAAAAGAGAGAAAACCATGTGCTCCATAAATGAGTCCAGGCTCTCAGAACACCCAGCAAGCTGGAGCCAAGCCAGACGCTCCAGGACACCATCTCCTGGGCCCCAGGGCAGGGCCCTTCCCTGGACACCAACCCTCAGGCCGTTTCCTTTGAAGACCTGATTTACAGGGTCACCACGTGACAGGCTGCGTGGAGCCTCACAAAGTAAAACTTCAGCTGCAGTAAACACTGGGGTGCTGGGGGAGGTGGGAGCCCCACTAGCAGGGGGCCATGGCCCCAGCTGCTTCCAAGGCCCTCTTTCTCCTTTTCCCTGAGGAAGGCTGAGCCCTCTGTGTGGGGTGGATGGGGTTCTGGGAACCTCCAATCCAGGACCTCTTGCAGAGAGCTGAATCAGAAAGTCCAAGCCCCTCCAGCATTTGGACACTTTATGGGTCTGGAATGTTTTGGAAACATTTTCAGGGGAGATGAGGTGGGGCGGGGGGTACCTTGCAAGCAGAGCTCCTCTCCGCAGTGCTCTCTGCAGTAGATCAGGACTGTCCAGACTGGGCTGGTCCCAGACACCCCGCAGTTTTTAGTCTTAACTCTTTCCTGCTTGTCACGGTTAGGTTACTCTGGTAGGGTGTCTTGCTTCTTGGGTTTTGTTGTTACTGTGAATGAGAATGTCATTGACATCCTAACACCACACTTCCCCTGCCCCCCAAACAAACTCCCGCACCGTGAGGAGCGTTCAGAGATCTTAAAATCTTCCTATGTCCTATTGCAGACAACCTTTCATCCCCTGTTGCTTTACAGGAAATATCCATATTGTTCTGTGGTTGTCATGGCGACGCCTTCTAAAATGCATTGTGCCCATTTACTGTTGTTTGGGAAGCCGTCCCTTTACTCCATTCCTATTTCGGTCATAATTCTCACAGCGCCTCAGCCACGTGACGTGCTCCTGATCCCCACAGCTCCCCGTCCCATGTCACTAACTCTGGCTTCGCTTGGGCCACCCTCTGCCTGAAGGCCCTGGTGCTCAGCTGTGGTGCTGCTGGGGCATCAGCACAGGACTGAGAAAGCCATATCCCTGGGCCTGGACCCCGGGGAGGCCTTGGCAATGGGGGCCGCCTGGACAGACACCTATCGCTGGTTACCTTTGGCTTAGAGTTTGATTGGATTTGGGTGGGGGACTGCTGCAGTGCTGTGTGCACAAGTACATGCACCTCTGTGTGTGTGCATGTGTGCATGGGTGTGGAAGAACACCAGCTGCCTGCTTGGATGTGTCCCCAAGGAATTGGAATAAGGATCCGTGATCCACACCGAGATCAGAATCTCAACTCAGATGCCTATGCCTGTATAACTTCCATAGGCTGCTGAAACCTTCAGGGACTCATTTTCTCCACCTGTCAAATGGGACCTACTTTTTGGGGTTGCTGTGAGGTTTAGGAGGTTATTGAATGGAAAGCTTCTAGAACAATCCTCCACATACTTTAAAGACTCCATAAATGTCAAAGATTCCATCCTCTCTGTCTGTCTCAGTTTTCTGCAAACAATCTTATTGGAGAAAAGATTTATATTGATAAAAAAGAAAATGTCCCATATCCCTTCACCCTCTCTTTTGCAGAGGGGGAAACTGAGGCCCAGAAAGGTCTGAACACATCTAAAACCACAGCAGACAATGCCAGCTTGCAATGAGAGGGAAGTCCTTGCCTGTTTCATCCTGGAGTGGGATTTTAGGGGTCCGGGCCAGACCTGAGGTGACTGGCATCTGGGGGTCTATGGGTCTGGCCCCCGTGGGGACATTATTTGAGGGGCTGTCTTAACTGAAGCATAGGATTCTTGTACCAGAAGAATCCTTCCACCCCTGAAACTCTGCCCAGGGTTAAGCCTCCAGGATTCTAGAATACTAGGGTGGGAAGGGTTCTTGGACACTCATCAGACCCCTCATGTTTCAGAGGTGGACACAGAAGCCCGGAAAAGGTGTGTATTCTCCCAGCACACACAGCCAGTCAGAGGCGGAGCTCAGCCTTGGACCCAGGTCCGGGAATCCAGGCCCTTGGCCCAATGTGCTTTTATTTTCATCTCACTGCTGTCCCCATCCCATGGGGAAGACAGAGCTAAGGTCGTAAACCTGCTTAAAAGCCCAAACCTGTCGTCCCACCCCACATGAAGATGCGGAGGGGCAGACACAGAAAGCTGACGAACGCAGCCTTTGCATGATTACAAGGTGCCCTCTTTCCAGTTTCCTGATGTTCTGGGCTTTCATCAAGAGCATGTAAATAATTTATGATGGGAGGAAACAGAAATCCTTGCAGAGAGTAAAAGCACAAATGCAGAAGGCAGGAAAGCTGCAGATCCAGAGGGAGCAGGGTTTCCAGAAAAGCACTTCCTCTGGTCCAGTCAGGCCCTGGTGTGCAGGAGGAAGGTCAGGTTTCCCACACTCTTCCCCTGGGCCATCCCGGGGAGCCCGGGGAGTGGGGTGCCCTGCGCTGCCCTGGCTGCCTGCAAGTGCCTGTGTGACCTTAAGCCAGCTGGGTTTACAAAACAGGCCTGAGGAAGACACAATAAACCCACAGGCAGAGCCGGTAGCAGGTTAAAAACAATCCTTCTCCAGTTCTTGTATGCATAAATTAAAAAAAAAAAAAATCCTTCCCGGCAACAATCCTTTTGGTCCTGCCCAAAACACTTGCCAGAGCAGCAGTGGCAAACATCTGTTCAGGTGTGACCTTGGACAGATGCCTTGAATAATGTATCTGGGCTTCATTTCCTCATTAGGAGGTTGTAGGGTAAATGGTTTTCAGGCTTTTCTGCCCTCCCACCATTAGGATTGCCCTGCCTGCTGGGGCACCTGCAGTGGTTACATTGTTGTAAGCTCACTTGTTTACTTCTGTGGGCCATGGAGGGGGTATGGAGACAGGCACCAAGAGCAGCAGAAGCAGGAGAGAGGCCGGAGAGAGAAGGGGCGGAATAAGCCAGAGAAGACTTGCTGGGGGCTTGGGGGCCTCCCAGCCTCCTGGCTTCCCGACACCCCTGCCTGCCATGTACCTGTTTGCCACACTACATGTAAAGCTCAATAAACGTCTGAGAAAGCCACTGAGGGCTCCAGGACTCTCCTTTACCCACCCATCTGTGGCATTATAGAGAACCTGCTCAGTGCCTTCCTGACCCTACAGAGGTGGAGAGGTTATAGGGGGTGATTCTGGCGACCTTTGCACAACCATGTCCCTGAAGGGCTACAGTGGGTGTGACACCCTGGAATTTCAGGGTGAATGAACGTCAGAGAGGATGCGAGCCTCAGAAAGTCACACAGCTCCGGAGTGCAGCGTTCAGCCTCAGACCACCAGAGCACTAGAGCAGCTCTATCACGCTCCCAGCACCCAGACTGCCTTCTGGGGGACGACGTGGCGGGCAGCAGGGGCAGAAGAGCACTGATTTCTCTGTTACGCCACCTACAGCTCAGTTGTTCCCAGGATCTTGTGACCAAGTCCTGGGGACTACAACGAGGCTTTCTTTAGGGCCTTGAACATAAGTATTCCTTGGAATATATATTCTTTGTAGAGTAGAAAGCAATGTCTATCTATGTAGTATGTATACTTTCTAATACACACCTGCTGTTCTAAAGTTTATCTTCGATTTTTTGACCAACATCTTAAAACCTGTATCATATATTAGAATGTGACAAACATTAAAACTGTGTCCCTGGATTATTAGCATCAAGAGTGGAAAAAGAACTGTTCTTCCAGTTTTGAAAAACCTTGACATACTTTTCTCTCTCTCTCCTTTCCCTTCCTACTTCCAGGCTTAGTTGTTACAATGAGAATCTTTAGTTCCAGATTGTTACCTAATTTTTCATTTTTTTTCTCTTTCAAGCATCCTTTTACAACAGTTGTCAAGCTCAACAATCACACCTGTTTCATTAGCTGTAAACTTCAAGTTTAGTGGGTTTCATTGTTTACAATAATTTTTCTATAACACATCTTCCCCATTCTTGAAATATTCCACTTTACTGGAATAATGAACCCCAGAGAGGGTATTTACTACAATGAATGAGGCTGCCTGGACACATCATAGTCACCCAAAGTCCGTAGTTTATGTGGGGATTCACCCTGCAGACTCTGCACACAGTAGATGCTCAGTAATGCATTTCCTCAAATAGCCTCAGAGCAAGCCCAGGCCGCCTGTCATGCCCCCCTGGGGTCCCTCCCACCCTTGGCCGTGCAGCTCACACACAGATGTGTGAATCATCTCCCCCTTCACTTTCAAGTCCCCTTTCTCCAGCCTGGAAAGAGATTCAGGACAGACGCCCCTGGCCCCCACCTGGCTGCAGAAACTGCAGTGTTGGAGGATTTCTCTTCTTATTTTCATGTCGGTTTCATTTGCTTTTCTATTTAAACATTTGCGAAGGGATATGCATGCTTGTGATAAAAGTTAGAGCGTTCAAACAGTACCCTGGAGGCAGCTTGCCTCCCGCCTGCCCCAGCCTGTCACTTCCTACAGGTGCTCTTCTTGGTGTCTTTCTCCTCCTGGATGGTGTCTCCGTGTGTTTAGGAGCAGTCGCTCGTGTTCAAGGGGGCGACGCCAGCAAGTCACCCAAACACATTGTCCCCGCTTTGCCTTTTGCAACCATTTGACCCACCTCATTGTTTTCATGGCCTTGAGTGTTCCAGCGTGGACTGTACCAAGTGCACCCTCCGCCTCAGGGAATCCCCAATTTATTTTCCTGGTAGTTTCCACTTCTAGTATTTACAGAGGCAGGAAATAAAGCCTGAGGGCTTGGTGGCCTGTGTAGGTCTATAGCTGGGGAGGAGTGGTGGAGGCGTCAACCCCTTGGCTGGCTCCTAGAGCGGGAGGAGGAGGGAGGTAGCTGGAGAGGCATCGGCATGGACAGAGGAGTCTTTATCCCAACGCACCCTATTGATTGAACCAGTCCCTATTTCCTGGTGTTTGGGCCACCAGGATGATCTGTGCAGGCCGCTGCCCTGTGTGGGCACGTCTACCAGGCATACACACCTTTCCCCACCTGGTCTGGCTTCCTCCACCCTGTCATGTTGTGTCCCAGCTGTTCACTTCTGATGTTTTCAGTCATAAGAGACCCAGGAGGCCCTTCTCCCCCTTTTGCTTGCTTGGGGCCAAAGAGGGTTTAGTGAGGAGGGACTTGTTCAAGGGACAGCCAAGAGGGGACACCCTTCCCTGCCCTCAGCTTCCTGGGGGTGGTGCCCCTGCTGGGAGAAACAACTTCAGTGGCTCCCATTCTGGAGCACGTGTGCTGAGAGGGACACTCGGGGGTCAGGGGCACCTGATGGGGGGTGGGGCGCTGGCCGCTCTGCAGGCTTGGTGAGTTCTGATCGGTGACCCGAGGCTCTGAGATTGTCTAAATGCCCTCTGAGTCCTCAAAGCACGAAGATCTCCTCTGTGTGCCTTTGCTTTTCTTTTATAAATGAACTATTTCTAAGACATTGGGTTCACAGAAAAATTGAGCAGAGATTACAGAGAGTTCCCTTATACTTGCTGCCCCCACACATGTACAACCTCCCCTGCTATCAACACCCCCCTCCCCAGGGCATATTTATGGCAAAGGATGAACCTGCTTGACACGTCATAGTCACACAAACTCCAGAGTTTACACTGTGGTTCACTCTTGGTATTGCACCCTCTTGGTATTGCACAAATGTTGAGTGTGGTACATCTACCTTACAGCATCATGCACAGTAGTTCCACTGCCTTAAACAGCCTCTGTGGTCTGCCTGTTCACCCTCTCCCCTCCTCTAATCCCACATGTCAGTGGCAACCACTGATGTTTTTACTGCCTCTGTAGTGTTGCCTTTTCTAGAATGTCATCTAGTTGAAATCATACAGAATGTGAACTTTTTAGATTGTCTTCTTTTACTTAATAATACACATTTTATGCTTCTGGGGCCTGTCGTGTGACCAGTATTCATTTATCCACCCATCCACCCATGCGCCCATCTACCAGTCCATCCATCCATCTATTCACCCCCCCATCCATCCACCCACCCACCTGTCTGTCTGTCCATCTGTCCATCCACACACCCATCCGTCCGCCCATCCATCCATCCATCCATCCATCCACCATCCACCCACCCACTCACTCAGCAAGTACAGCCAGAGATTGCTTCATGCCGGGCACTGTTTTCGGGGCAGGGGCGGGGGAGGCACTGTGAACGAACAGACATGTGCCTGCGTTCATTGTGAAACTCAGAGGACAAGGTCCTTTGCTCTGGGGGACCCCTGACCACAGGCAGCACGGGCGAGAGCGGTAGCCCTCAGACCCCCTCTGAGCTCTAGCCAGTCACCGTGTGAGCAGGGGCCACGTGGCACTGCTGTCTGCCCTGCTCGCTCCCACGGGCCAGGCGTCCGGCTTTCGGTCTAACTGCAGGTCCTTCATCTCACCACCCAGGCTCAGTCAGTCCTCTGAGCCTTCCCAGTTACAAGTGACAGAGCCTGAGTCCCCAAGAGATTGAGGCTTGTCTCCAGAGGCAAGCAAAGGGCTTTGCTAGGGTTTGCCTTGCTCTGAGACTCAGTTTCCCTGTTCACACTGAGAAGGGCTCAGAACCGATGGCAGAGGTCCCGTGGGTTCAGGGAAGAACTGGGATGAGACCTTGGGGTCCTGCCTGTGGGGTCACATGGGCGCCTTCATGTTTTCCGTGTTTTCTAAAACCCAGTGTTCTCCACTCTCCCACCCAGCAGGGGAAAACCAGCAAATTCTTCCTTCCCTCTCATGAGGATGGCAGGGCCCCCCAAGAGCATGGAACAGACTTGCTTCCGGGGAAGAGGGGTGGGCAGTGTGCTCTGGGGCCGCTCAAGCGGTTCCCTCCCTCCTGCTCAGAGAAAGAGTAAGAGGGGGATGGGCCCAGGACCCCCCACTGCTCCACCCCCTGGCCAGAGCTCCCACTTCCTGTGGGCTGGCCCCCTTTGGGTGCGTGACTCAGGAGGCACATCCTAACCTGCCTGGGGAGCCACGCCCATCACCAATCGACCCGGGCTCGGGAGCCGACCCGGGCTCGGGAGCCGACCCGTAGGGCTGCAGCTCTAGGCCACCATTGACCGGACACCCACGGCAGCTGGGGCCGCAGCCACCCCCAGGTCATCTTTAGGGGTCAGGAGATGGGGAGATGTTAAAAAATGACACCTGGGAGGACGCCAGCCCAGGACTGGAGGCAAGGCACATGCTCTGAACCTGTGCACCGCTTTGTCCCTCTGCCTGGGATGGGCCAGCAGGGCAGGAAAGGCCACACCCATCTGAGCAACACCCCTGCCACCCATTCCTGTCACCTGCATTTACATATCCCCTGCTCTCGGTGACCTGCCAGCCACTGTTGGCAGCAGGTGAGCAGGGTTACTTTGCAGACGGACACCGAGGCTCAGAGAGGTCAAGTAACTTGTCCAGGATCACGTAGGACTCAAGAGCAGCCCGGCTGTGAGTGAAAAGGCAGATGGCAGCGTCTCAGTCTCAAGCCCACACCCTCCCGGAGGCACCGCGCTCCCTCCTGGCTGCTCTCATCCAAGGTGTCCCCCCGGCGCCACAGATCACATTACTAGCCGCTCACACAACACACATGATGGGTTTGGGCCCTCCGTCCCCTCCATTCAGGGAGAAGACAGACCAGAACAAGCAGGACAGTCGCTGCGGCTGGGCACCCTGTCACTTGCCAGGGCTCAGGAAGGAAGCGAACTTTCCAAAGTCCCGGGACCCAGGCACACTTCTGCCCCAGCCTGGGACTCAGCCCCGGTCACACCCCCGACTGCCTCCAAACTCAGACTGCCCAGCCCAGCCCCGCCTGGCACCCACCTTGTCTGGAGCGAGCCGCGGACACCGGGTCCTTTCCTTCCCGCGCAGGTCCAGCGGGCTGCCTGCCGTCCAGCCCTCCAGGAGCTGCCTGAGCGGAGCTGGAGTGGCGGGGAACAGCTCATCTTTCAAGGGTTGGGTGGTGATGTCATCGCCTCCTGGCACTTCCTCCCTCCACCTCCGTGCCTCCCGGTGGCCTGGCAGCCCTTTCCAGCCTAGGCCCCACTGGGTCGCCGCCACTGGGTCTCCCCCCACCCTGGGAGCCCCGTGGGGGGAGAGGTCCCCCAAGGCACAGCCTCCAAGTGTCCCCAGCTCAAAACAGCCTTGCATTTCAGCCCCTGTGCTGCCTCCTCCCCAGCCGAGGGCCTCAGGCAAGTGACTTAACCTCTCTGAACTTTGAAATGGAGCTGATGGTGGCAAACCTCAGAGAGGGTGTGGTGAGGGTTAATATCAGTCCTGACACAGAGAACTTCTGCTGTGCCAGGCACTTTGCCCCATCCTTTCGGGCACCCAGGGCTCCAAAGCCCACGTTCAGAACCACGGGGCTACCCTTGTTCTGGGTAAATGAAATAATGGGTGTGAATAGCAAGTGCATAGTGGGCGGTGGGGCCCTCAAAACCAGATGTCGTCTTGCTGGCATGGAGGTCAGTGGCAGCACATCCGTAAGTGAATACACTTGTCTGATAGAACACACACGGCTTCTCATTCACTTTCCCTCCGTGTTTTTGTGTCTGTGTTTAGGTGTGAACAGAGGCTGGCCGGCTTGTTTGCCTCCCAAGGGAGGAGGGCGGGGGAACTTGAAAGATTTTCAGGGTGAATCCCTTTCCCTGTGCTGTTTCGGGTGACAGTTTCGGGTGACAGTTTAGGGTTAGTGCACCCTGGAGACACACAGCCTTTTCCTTCTTTTTTCTTATCATGTTTATTGAACTTGCTTTGGTTTGCAGCACTGTACATGAATTAGGGGTACAGGTTCACACCTCTTCAGACACGCCACCACACCACGCCCACCGCCAAAAAGCCACAATTATCCTTCACCACAGTCTGTGGTGTCCCCTCTCCCTGGCCCCTTGCCTCCTCTGATAATCAAAAATCTGCAGTAGGATTTCAAGGGTTTGTGTTGGATTATTTCTGTCTGTTCTTTTGTTTTTTTTTCCCCTCTATATTCCACATACAAATGAAGCAATTTGGTGTTTGTTTTTTTCCTTCTGACTTATTTCGCTTAGCATAATCTCCCCCAGTTCCACCTATATTGTGGCAAATGGCAAGATTTCATCTTTTTTTATGGCTGAGTAGTATTCCTTTGTGTCTATGTATCACATCTTAATCCACTCGGCTGTGTTTGGGCACTCGGGGTGTTGCCATAGCTCGGCTTGTAAAGAGTGCTATGATGAAC